TGAGAGCCATCTGGTTTTCTAGAAAAGATTCATCCCATGTGTTGCGTAGCAGTATCTTCTGGAATGTATCTTAACTGTAAATTATCAGTGATGCATTCTTCTTTGCTTCACTGAAGCACAGAAGCCTGAAGTTTGATTTCAGACTTCCTTTTGAACCTTAGAAGAATTAGAGCTATAAAACTGGTCATATTTCCAGAAGGTTCTTTAAGGGTGTCCCTTTACATTCCAGAAGTGAAGTTTGTAAGTTTCAGGGATAAAATCATGTCTGCATCAGCTGCACCAGAGAAAGTATTCTCACTGTTGAGCATTAGTTTAAATGGCTGTTGTGTTGATGACTGCAGTACATTTCCCCTGGAGTTTAGAAATTATATTTGGGTATAGCACTGGTAGGCATAGAGAAGCAATGTTACAAGCAGTGTGCATACTCATTCTAGATGTATCCTATTATTTCTTTTGTTGCTTTTAGATCAACATTTCTCTCTTTAAGTCCATTCTTTGCAGTTTTTGTGAGTAGTACCATATCGTATCAAATATGTATCAACTGTAGGATACACTACAGTAATAAGTGGAGCAGGAGTGCGTAACAAAGTTCAACAAAGGCAAACATAAGGTCTTGCACCTGGGAAAACGTAATCCAGGAGTGCAGCACAGGCTGGGATCTACCCAGCTGGGGAGCAGCTCTGTGGAAAGGGACCTGGGGGTCCTGGTGCACAGCTGGCTTGATATGAGTGAACAGTGTGCTTCTGCGGCCAACATGAAAGAAAGCCAGCAGGATGCTGGGTTTCATCAACAAGGGCATCGCCACCAGAGATAAAGAAGTCATCCCTCACTCCACTCAGCGCTTGTCAGGCCACACCTGGAATGCTGTGTTCAGTGCTGGTCCCCGCTATACAAAAATAATGTGGCCAGGCTGGAGAGGGTCCAGAGAAGGGCCACAAAGGTGATCAAAGGACTGGGAAGCCTGCCATATGAGGAAACGCTGGGAGAACTGGGTTTGTGCAGCCTTGAGAAAAGAAGGCTTAGAGGAGACCTTACCGCCATGTTCCAGAATTTAAAGGGTGGCTACAAAGAAGATGGAGACTCCCTTTTTACAAGGAGTCCCATGGAAAAGACGAGGAGTAATGGGTACAAGCTACTCCTCTGGAGATTCCGATTGGACACAAGAGGAAAATTTTTCACAATGAGAACACTCAGCCATTGCAATGATCTCCCCAGGGAAGTGGTGGATTCCCCAACGTTGGACACTTTTAAGATTCAGCTGGACAGGGTGTTGGGCGATCTTGTCTAGACCATGCTTTTGCTGAGAAAGGTTGGACCAGATGATCCTTGAGGTCCCTTCCAACCTCGTATTCTATCATTCTATCAACTCATACTTTGCATGCGTTTAATAATTTTCATTGAAAGCACTTAGCGAATTTTAATAAAATTACTTTGACTGTTCCTGTGAAGTAGATAGTATTACCCATGCAGGTATGCAGGAGTTAGGCTGACATTTTTCCAAAGAAAGCTACCTCCTTCAGCCAGTGCCTTTTGAAGATACCTTGTAAGTATCTGTGTGCGTTTTTGTTTTAGGCCTGTTTTTTTGAAAACAGTAAAGGAACTACATGTGTTGAATTCTGGAGTGGTAAGCGTTGTTTTTCACTTGTCAGCCAGTGATACAGAATGTGGGTGCATACTGGAAAAGTCACAGACGCATCTCAATAGAATCCCTCTTCCATTAAAAAAAAATCTGAAGACGACCTGAAGTGGCACATAAAGGTGTTCTGTTTAACAGAACCTATCACTAGCAAGCATTTCAAAGTTTCTTTATGTTAACAACACTGAACTTTAAGGACTTTATCAGTTATCATTGTTCAAGCTTAGTATTATCTGTGTTGCCTACCTGGGATTTCTACATGCTATTTAACAACAGCGTTTTGCTATCTCCCGGCAAAAATACTCACCCCCGTCAATCTGAAATTCCTTCTCTTCTTTGCGACACTGTGAATTAATACCAAAATTCTGTAAACCTACCTATTTAGCAAAACTACTTCGTTGAAGAAATCTAGTGTTTGAAATAAATATACCTATACAATGCAGTCAAAAAATTAAAAAACCCCCACATTGTTATTACCATACATTAAAAAAAAAATGAGGCAGGAAAACTAAGAAAAGCAGCTGAAACAAAGACAGTCCCTCCCCATACCCCTAGTATGTCTGGAGAAGAAAAAAGTGTGAAATGGATTAAGGAACTGGTTCATTCATCTGTTATAGTGCACATGTGATTTCCCTAGACTACTGAAATAATGTTACAAGCATTCAGCAGCTGCGATACGGTTTGAAAGTTTTGGAATTTGAGACCTGTTAATTTCATACGGAATTTTACTACAGTAAAGACTGTACTTGTCCTTCAGGTGTGTGGTGTTGGGATGTGGGATTTCTGGAAGAACAGGGACATATTGTGAGCAACCCAGACACTCTGAATATGGACTTGATCAGTCTGTAGCAGCACAGGCCTCAAGGCCATCGAGAGGCTGGCTGTGGATAAACAGATGCTCCAAGGCCGGCTGCAGGTAAACAGGTGTTCTATTAATAGATGCTTTATGAATAGTAAGCAATCATAACTGAGTGCTGTACCGAGTGCTGTCTATATAGTCCAGATTCTCTGCTAATAAAGTTGACTGTTATGGATCATATTGGTCTAGTCCTTGAGCCTGCCGCAACATTGGGACCAGCTGCAGAAAACAATTATAGAATTAGCTGGTTCCTTTCTCAAATAATGAGAGGTCTTAGTACAAGTTATAGATACGAATATAAAAATGCAAGAACAATGGGACGTTGCAGCACAGGAAAATACTGTATTTAAGTAAAATTAGAAAGCATTTCACTGAAGTCAATGGAATTATATTAGTAAAAGGTTAGAGCATCGGACCCAGCTTGTCTGTCCTGAAATTCACTTGTTGTACCTGTGGATACCATGAAGATACTTTCACGCATGTCTGACTTCTTCAGATCACAGTTGAGAACGTGATTGTCCTCTCCACGATTGAAAAGGTTAAACGGCATCTGAAAAGCAAAGCCTCAAATCTCCGTATGCATTAGCTACCAAATGGTGCTTCATCAGAAACAGGAATGACATTCTAGTGATAACTTTGGCTTCCTCCCCTAGACTGTGAATGTACGAAACAAGTCAGAACTAGTTTTATAACTTCAGCACCAGCACTGACTTCCTGGTGAAATTTTTGGCATCACTCCTGGTCTGTATCCGTATTTTTTTCATCACGCCTAAATCAGATTTTGTCAATTCCTGTTTATCCACTAATCTTGAATACCCAGAAAAGCCTGTAACAGACAGCCTACAGGTGTGCACGTGGCCTATAGAAACAAGTGCAGAAGCCACAGTAAGCAGTTCCATCTGCCAGAGACTAGAATACAGATTGCTTTGTTAGACTATTCCACTAAAAACAGTTTCTGTATTCCCACGTGGTGCATTTTGTGGGAAAATAAGTCTCATATATAGTAATGTGGGACGAAATTACAATTTCTTACACAGTATTTCTCTTTTCTCTTTCTGTAGTCAAAAAGGCAATTAACTCAATTACATCAAGGAGAAATTTAACTATAAATAAGCCTGTAATTCTAATCTATCTGTGGCAGTGATACCGGATAGAGGCACTCATTGCAACTTCCTAGATATTACTGGTTAACTTTGTATTTAAAATAAATTCTGTTAGATTAAGAAGTCAAGATATAGGTAAGCTGTGCTCATTGTGGCAGCCTGTTATCAAAGAGAAGACCAAATGCATTTTCAGAAATGTTACACTTTCTGCATGTGCACAGACAAATCTATGCATGCTTGGTGTGCCCCATCGCCTGGCTGGGAAAGAGGTGTCGTATGCACTCTACCAGAAGAACGAAATCTATGGCCCACCTATTTTTCCATGCTGGGTACTGCAGTTTTAGTACAGTGACAGTTCTGCATTATGGAAAAATAAGGGAAAAAATGCAGATAATGTTTTGAATCAAAACTGTAAAATACTCATATAGGTCTTTCTTCACGATTAGAATGTAATCTTATTAAATTTCTCATATAACTATGGTTATAAGCAAATAAACAGCTAAAACCCCCCAAATGAACCAAGCAAAAAAGCTGACCAAAACCTAACAGATTAGATAAATTAGGCTAATTTCGAATTGAGAAGAAATATCCCAGTGACCGAATCTCTGGATTTTGTCTTTCCGTTGTAACTGAAGGTCTTAGATATATTTTGTACAACACAATTATGAAGTAATTGTTGAACTTGTACTTTAACAGTATCTCACTTAAAAATCAGAAAACCATTCATTTACAAAAAGTAATTCTTTCATCATCTATGTCTTGTAAATATTATTGTCCATCCAGGGAAACAAGTATGAAGGAAGTGGTCTGAAGTTGCAGAACGAGTCAGTGGCAAACCTAGACACTGAATTGGTCGTGTTTTCTTACTGCCGTGCCTCCTGCCTCTGGTTTTTTCATCTTATGCTCCTTGGACTGGGACAAAAAGAACAAAAAGTAAGTGTTGCATTGTTTGCATATTACAGGAAAACGTAGTTACTGCGGCCCATCGCCATGAAAAAAAACACAAAATTCTAAAGACAAGAACAATTATTATGAACTCCTGTTTGGACATCTTCTTGCTTTTCTGCAGTTTGTAATATTTAGCACCTGTTCAAGAAATGTTTTCTATAAATAACCATTTTCTGTTTCAGACAGAATTTACATCGACACTTATCTTGGTGCAGCTGTTCAGGTTTTCTGCAACTGTGAATTGCCAGAAAAGGAACAGTAACTCCTTGGGGGCCTCAGAGTTAAATAATTTTTATTTAACATGATACTACGCAGTGGAGCTGTGATCGCAGTCCAACTATTATTGCTAGCTGTCCTTGGATTTGCTAGAACTGAGAACTGAAAAGCCCTTTGTAGATGATCCTCACTCTTTTACAATTTCTGTGGCTTTCCAGTTCCGTAATTACTGACCCTGATGGCACACTGCCCCAAAAATGAATACTTTGATAATTTGCTGCTCTCTTGTAAGCCTTGTCATCTTCGATGTTCTAGTACATCGCCGCCTTCGTGTGAAAACTACTGTGATAAGAGTAAGTCATATTTCTACAATACTTTGTGGCTACGCTGGGCATTTTCGTGTTGTATTTGACATAGAATTGTAAACGTAAAAACTTAAAGAAATCTAAAACCTGGAAAACAGTTTATCAGAATAATATACAGGCTCAAAAATATTATAGACATATGCAATGTGTCCTCTATGGGTATGTGTGTTAAGAAGAATAAATTTTTAAACCTCTTAAGCTTTATTTGAGCTGCCACTCAACAGAAACAGAAATAGACATTGCTCATTTGATACAGAAGATGATTTATGTGTTGGATGTGTTTACTGTTCATTGGTTATTGTTTACAATTAATTTATTGCATCTCCCATTTTGTAAGGTACCAATTCAAGTGGAGTTCTTTGGATTTGTTTGGGCTTAGGAGTAATTTTAGTGCTGACTCTGCTCACCTTAATGGTCTTGTTTAAATGGAAGCACTTAAAGCAACTAAAAGAAAAACTCAAAAACACGGGTGAATAAATGAGGTTCTTTATCAAATAATTTTAGATCACTGCACATTTTAGCTACTCTTACCATGTATAAATTTTGCATATGGTTTATATTCCAGATTCTGATAACTCTTTGTTGGATTGTTTTGTATTCCTCAAATAGTCTCAGTGAAGTTATTTAAGTTATTAGGGAATAAAATATTCAGATGATAACTTGTAAAAGCAGCAATCTCTCTTCGTTGGTTCTGGATCGTGTCAGGATTGTGTTGTTGCACATTCATACCTGGCTTACTTGGTGGTTGAGAAATCATTTATGAACCCTCAATAACAAAAGGTCTTTGTAAAGGTTTCATCCTCTTATTGAATGCAAAAGGAGTTCTACTCAGGTAGAGGATACACACTCAATATTAGCTTTCCATCTTATAAGACAGTAAGTAATTTTACTTCATATTCCAGCCTGTGAGAAGCGTATGTGGTATGTTTTGGGAAGGTGAAAAAATTATTTTTACATTTCACAAATACTAGTATTTGTGGAGTGTTCAGCCAATAAATAACTACTGATTAGAAGCTATGCATTAGATTACTTAAATGCTTACCCTGAAGTATATGGGGCGTATTGTCATACAACAAATTATTATCATATATACCTACATCTTAAAACTTTCACTATTATCTTAAAGCTTTCACTATGGTTAGGAGCATGGTTGGAACATAATGAAATTTGTGTCTTTAATAACTGTATGTCTGGTATAGCATGATGTATGTACTAAATTAACTTCTGTGTATTTACAGACTCTTCCGTGGAGCTGAGCAATGTTCTCAAGGCTAATCCTGAAAGCAGCGTGAATACAGAAGGGATCAGACACTCACTTCAAAGTGAAACATTAATGTACTCAGTGGAAGAATGCACGTGCAGTGACTGTGGCTTGGTAAAGCCTCAGACTGGCTGTGAAACTTCATTTCCACTGCCAGCTACAGAAGAAGGAGCTACTGTTCTAGTTACCACAAAATCTTTTGACTATTGCAACTATATTCTGGGCGCTGGGTGACTATGAGAGAAGTATATTTTTACTGCATGATAATAAGTGAGTTATTCCAGTACAGCTATTAATACTTAAAGTCAGTGGAGAAGGCTAGTACATCATCCGTATAAATCTTTCATTCAGCTTTTATTAATATTTTCATATTATTTCTAATTCTAGTATCTCTTTGGTCAAGTACTTCTACATTGTTCTCGGGTATTAACCTAGTTACTGGAATTCTTAGTTTCTGAAAGTCCCTGCATAGGACGGGTTTTTCTGCCTTTAGAGATTGTATCTACTTACGCCGGCTGTACGCAAACCCATCAGTATGCAATACAAAATACATATTTGCAAATGTTAAACTTGGATCTTATGCCAAAAGTGGCTTGACGATATGCGAGGAATGTTCCAAGAAGCAGAAATGAAGACCCACGTCACACCCCCAGCCCCGTACACCGTAATTTCAAGTGGGCGCTGGGACTCTTGGCAGGGTCGCGTTCCGGCGCCGAGGGCCTCTGCGGAGCCTGGCGCCCGGTCAGTGCCCCCGCGCCGCAGCGGGGAGGCCGGGGA